AATTAGTATAAACTATTATAAAAATTCCCATATTGTAAGGTCTAAATAATCACATTCATATGTCAGGTCTGTTTGTTAATAATAACAATTTTCTTTTCCTTTCAACTGAGGTCTAGGGCAGATAATTATGGCAACAATTTGTCAAATAGACTCAAACATAGCAGATGTTCAACAAATGAGCATCTGAAATGAATTGAATTTGGGGTTAGATGAGAGATTTAAATTTAGTGTTTTCTAATGTCTCATTCCGCTTTCATCTATGATTTTACAATTTTTTTTTAAATTAAAAAAACGGTTAAGAAAATGGTGAAAAGCTTCTACATATGTCTATTGTCCAGTTTCTTCAAACTCAGAAGATGGACCCACAAACCTCAGGGAATATTAATAAAAGGGTCTAGTCTTCACTGGAAGTCAATTTTCATGTTGCATGGTATACATTAATATCATATGCTAAAGATAAAATAGCATGGGTTTTCATCCATTAGCATTTCTATGTACTTTTAAAAAGTGCAATTCCACTTTTAAAATTTTTCATGCATTTTTGCAGCAATTATAGAAATCTTTGTTCTGCATCTGCAGTGATGAGCAGCTTCATGTTTATTAGGAATTAAAAGCTCAGTTGAACTATGCTTTCTCTACTAGCTTATAATGCGGGATCTGATGAATAAAAATAATGGTAGCTCCTTTTTATGTAGCATTTAAAATATGTAATGTACTTCCCAGTAAATGTGGATTGATAGTGTATTTTCTTACTTTTTAAAATGAAGAAACTGAAACTCAGAGGTTGTCATTTGACCAGCCCCACTCTGTATGCAGCAGAACCAGGATTTGAACCCATTATTTTATTGATAATGTAGTTTGATTTTTGCTAAACCATACCACTCTCACAATTCTTTGCAAACTGTATATTCATGTGTCAAAAAAGTTAATACTTTTCCTGACCTTTTTTGTATATAGTAGGCTAACCTTCAAGGATTGTAAACTCCATGTAAGTTATTGGTTTTACTCTAAGGGTCTCTGGGCTAAGCATGTATTATTTGCTAAAGAGTGCATGAAAATGAAGTGTGGAGACTCTGTAAGAAAACATTCTGCTTCAGTGAAGTAACCAAAACAGAAATTAAGAAAACAATCTCGGGCCGGGTGCAGTAGCTCACGCCTGTAATCCCAGCACTTTGGGAGGCCGAGGAGGGTGGATCACGAGGTCAAGAGATCGAGACCATTCTGGTCAACATGGTGAAACCCCGTCTCTACTAAAAATACAAAAAATTAGCTGGGCATGGTGGCGCGTGCCTGTAATCCCAGCTACTCAGGAGGCTGAGGCAGGAGAATTGCCTGAACCCAGGAGGCGGAGGTTGCGGTGAGCTGAGATCACGCCATTGCACTCTAGCCTGGGTAACAAGAGCGAAACTCCATCTCAAAAAAAAAAAAAAAAAAAGAAAAAAGAAAACAATCTCATCTGCAGTCATGTCAAAAGTAATATACTTAGGAATAAAATTAACCAAGGAGGTGAAACATCACTGCATCAAAATCTATAAAACATTAATGAGAAAAATTGAAGACACAAATAAATGGAAAGATACCTTATGTTCATGGATTGGAAAAATAAATATTGTCAAAATGTTTATACTACCTGAGGTGATCTACAGATTTATTGTGATTCCTGTCAAAAGTTCCATGGCTGACAGCCAACTGATTTTCAACAAAAGTGCTAAGAATACACATTCACCTTGGAGAAAAATATAGTATTTTTAAAATTCACATAGAACCACAATATACCCCAGTTAAATAAAGCAATCTTCGGGAAGAACAAATCTGAAGGCACCATAGCTCTTGATTTCAAATTATATTACAAAACTATAGTAATTAAAACAGTATGGTATTAACATAAAAACAGACATATAGACCAATGGAACAGAATAGACAGCATAGAAATAAACCTATGCATTTACAGCCAATTGACTTTAGACAAAGATGCCAAGAACACACAAAGAGAAAATAACAGTTTATTCAATAAATGGTGTTGGGACAACTGGGTGTCCACATGCAGAAGAAAGAAATTAGAGTCTTATAATGTTTATAAAAATCAACTCAAAATGAATTAAAGACTTACATGTAAAATCTGAAAATTTAAAAGTACTTGCAGAAACATAGGAGAAAAGTTCTATGCCATTAGTCTTGGCAATGATTTTTTGGATACGACACCAGAACACAGATGACAAAAGCAAAAATAAATGAATGGGACTGCACTGAACTAAAAGGTTTCTACAGCAGCAGAGGAAATAACAAAAATGAAAAGGCAATTTATGGAATGAGAGAAAATATTTGCAAACCATATATCCAAGAAGGGGTTAATATTCAAAATATATGAGTTCTAGTCCATTTTTGCATTACTACAAAGAAATACCTGGGGCTGGGTAATTTATAAAGAAAATAAATTTGTTTGGAACCAGGCACATGGTGGCTCATGCGTATAATCCCAGCACTTTTTGAGGCCAAGGTGGGCAAAGCACTTGAGGCCAGGAGTTGTGGACAAGCTTGGCCAATGTGGTAAAACCCTATCTCTACTAAAATTTAAAAAAAAAAATAGCTGGCATGGTGGCACACACCTGTAGTCCCAGGTACTGGGGAGAGTGAGACATGAGAATCACTTGAACCTGGGAGGTGGAGGTTGCAGTGAGCTGAGATCGTGCTACTGAACTCCTGCCTGGGAAATAGAGAGAGACTCTATCTTAAAAAAAAAAAAAAGAATGTCTATGTTGGCTCACGTTTCCATAGCCTGTACAGGAAGCATGTTCCTGGTGAGGTCTCAGGAAGCTTTTTTAATATATATATAAAAAATTATAAATGATACGTAGTTACATATAAATATATATATAAATATATATATAATATATATATATATATATATATTATATATATATATATATATATATATATATATATATATCTCCAATAGAATAGTATTCATCCCTTAAAAAGAAGGAAATCCTTTCATTTGCCTCAACAGGAATAAACCTGGAGCACATTTTGTTAAGTAAAATAAGCCAGTCATAGACAAAAAACACTGCATAATCTCACTCATATGTGGAATTTGAAAAAGTCAAACTCTTAGAAACAGAGTAGAAGGGTGGTTACCCAGGGTTGAGGGGTAGGAGAAATGGGGAGACTTTGATCAAAGCTTACAAACTTTCAAAGTTATAAGATGAGTATGTTCTGGAGATCTAATGTACAGCCTGGTTACTATAGTTTATAATATTGTCTACTTGAAATGTATGAGGAGAGTCAATCTTATTCTCACCGCACACAGACGCACACACAAAGGTAACTGTGTGAGATCGTGGATGTGTTTGTTATCATAATTGTGGTAATCATTTCACAATGCATATGCATATCAAACCATCGTGTTACATACTTCAAGTATTTACATTTTTTTTGTCACTTATACCTCAATAAATCCAAGAGAAAAAAAGAGGGACTTCTTCTGAATTCTAGATTTCATGCTTTTTGTCAGTTTGTGGCCCCCATTTGACTGTGGTTGTGAGATCTTAATAACAGAGATCCATTCAATGGTTCATTAGAAACAATCCCACTCTATAATATTCCATTCTTTGGATGTACCACAGTTTATCCATAGAGGAATTTCAGATGCATATTACCAACTGAAAAAAAAAAAACCCAAAACCGAAATAACTACATGTGCTATATGGCTCCAACTATATAAAATTAAGGAAAAGGCAAAATTATGGAAGACAGTGAAAAGATCAGGTTACCAGAGATTGGGGAAAGGTGTGGAAGAGGGACAGATGATGAGGCAGAAAACAGGATTTTCAGGGCAGTGAAAATATCTGTATGATACTACAGTGGTGAATTCATGTCACTCTGCATTTACTCACACTCACACAGTGTACACTAAGAGTGCACCCTAATGTGAACTACTGACTTTGGATAATAGTGATGTGTCAATGTAGGCTCATCAGTTATAATAAGTGTACAGCTCCGGTGGGGATTGTTGATAATGAAGAAGTCTATGCACGTGAGGGAGAGAGAGGCATATGGAGTATCTGCACCTCTCTCAATTTTGTTGTGCACCTAAAACTGCTCTAAAAAAAAAAAAAACCTAATTCTTAAAAGAAAAGAATATGTACTGTCTCTCATATTGTTTGATAGAATGCTGTATGAATGTTAATTAGGTCTACTTGGCTGTTAACGTCAATTTTTCTACATCCATACTGATTTTAATTTCACTTATTGCATTAATTACTGAGAAAGGAGCATTTGTATATAAAAAATGAGTCTAAAAGCCAAAAAAAAAAAAAATCTTGCTTCAAAATATAGTATTTGTCCTTTCCTACGTCTCCTTTCCATGCAAATGTGAATTAATTGCCAAATCTACCAAATATTCCTTAAAATATTCCTTATATACCTTTTTTTTTGGAGATGGGGTCTTGCTCTGTTACTTAGGCTGGTGTGCAATGGTGTAACCTTGCCTCCTGGGTTGGAGAAATTCTGCTGCCTAAGGCTCCTGAGTAGCTGGGATTACAGGTGCACCGCCCTGGCTAATTTTTGTATTTTTGTTAGAGACAGAGTTTTACCATGATGGTTAGGCTGGTTCCAAACTCCTGATCTTGTGATTCACCCGCCTTGGCTCGCCAGAGTGCTGGGATTACAGGTGTGAGCCACTGCACCCAGCCCAAATACTCCCTTTAGTCCCCAGCAGACCAATACAATCACATGCACCTGGATTTGGGCAGATTCAAGTTCACAGTCTTACTAAACTGCTCATCTTATCTGTAGTGGTTGCTTTTCCTTGCCCCTCAAGATCAATTCATGTAAATCAGTTATTTAAGAATTGGAGAAAAATGTGCCTTTGCTTTAATGTGTTATATTGTGTTCATCAAGATCCTGACTCATTTGTGACATTTGCTGTTAGAATGAAAACTAATTCCGACTTCATTAACTTTATATAACTTTTTTTATTGTTTGCTATTGTCACTGTGAAGGTCATGGGCAGTGTAATTGCGGAAGATGTGACTGCAAAGCAGGCTGGCATGGGAAGAAGTGTGAGCACCCACAGTCCTGCATACTGTCAGCCGAGGAGAGCATCAGGAGGTGCCAGGGAAGCTCTGATCTGCCTTGCTCTGGGAGGGGTAAGTGAGGTCTCAGGGCTTGCCAAGGCCTGTCCATCATGATTCAAATGAATTCAGTGCACACACATCTTAATTTTAAAAACAGCTGAGATCCCTGAATGAGGGACTATTAGTCTTTTTAGAAACTAATAATAAATCCAATTTCCATGAATGGAAGTACAAAGAGATATCTTTCACACACAGACACTCTCACTCACTGTCAGTCTACTTGAGACTTGAGGTATGTTCAATTTCAGTTTAGTTCAGTTCAATGTTACATTAAAAAAGGAAACACAGTTTAGATGTTTGCTTAAAGCTCTCTGAATGAGACCACCTAATTGTCCACTGACATTTACGAAACCCAGTAACATTATTTTCAGGACAGTGTTGGCTTTTGGAAATTCACTGTATAAACAAATAGCTACGAATAAGCTTTTGTCGTTTTGGAAGGAAGGCATGTAGCCTCAGGTGTGTTCTTGGTATCAGATCAGAACAAATTAGAGGAGAAGGACAAATTCATTTAGAAGAACATGGGTTCCATTCCTCTCGATTTATCAAAATAAGAAATACAATTTCTCAGATGAGAATAGCAAAGTTAATATGAAATATGCTTTTGAAGAACTGGTGATTGACATTATTACCAATTTTGTTCCAGAAAGAGGAAACAGGCTTTCTTCACTTGAACATTAGATCAGAAAATGGTTATGTTGCATTTTTCTTGTTTAAAAATGTACTTTTTAAGAGGGATGTAATTCACCTACCATAAAATTCACATACCACTCAGTATTGTTAACATATTAACATAATTATGCAGCCATCACCACTGTCCAATTCCAAAAAAATGTTTATCACCCTAAAATACTGTTACCCTATGGCAAACACTCCACATTCTCTTGTCCCAGAAACCCTAGAAACTACCAATTGACTCTCTGTCTCTGTGGACTTGTCTATTCTGAATATTATATACAAATGGAATCATAAAATATGTGATCTTCTTGCATCTGGCTTTTCTCCACTTAGCATCAAGTGTTTGCAAGTTTTATCAAAGTTGTAGCATATGTCAGTCCCATTCCTTTTTATGGCTAAATAATATCCTGTTGTATGGATACACCACAGTTATTTAACTCTCCATCAGTTAATGGACATTCAGAGATGGGGTTTCAACTTTTTGGGCATTATGAATAATGTTGCTATAAACATTGGTGTGCAAGTTTTTGGGTGGACATGTGTTTTAATTTATTTGGGGTCTATATCTGTGAGTGGAATTGCTGGATCGTAGAGTGACTCTATGTTTTACCTTTTGAGGTAGTGCAGGACTGTCTTCAAAATGGTGATACCATTTGACATTCCACCAACAGTGTGTGGAGGTCCCAGTTTCTCTACATCTACATCTTCACCATTTCTTGGTATTGTCTGTCTTTTTGATTCTTTAGAATGTTCTGGATAAAGAAAACTCCATAAAGTCTCCCAGATCATTTGTAGCATAGGTATTTTCTCATATCCAGTATTTTCCCCTAATTGGAAGTGGAAAAGTTGAGAAGTAGGATGTGGGTAGAATTATTTTTGTTTATTTCAGAAATATTTTTGACTAGCCCAGTGTTTCACCAGCAATCTCAGACAAGAACCATTGTTCTATCTGCATTCATAATATTCTCATTATAATGCTGCATAAGCCATCATGCTTTTAAAGTAACAGACTAAAATTTGTATCCCTCAGACTACTGCTTTTGCCAACCCTTGTAATCTACAGCAAAACATAACTTTACATGATTATTTTACATTTACAAAAAGCTTTATCTATTGGGCTCAACCATGTTAAAATAGGAAGGCTAATCAGTGTCTTTAAAAAAAAAGTCAGTGTGCCTTTTCAAAAATATAATATAATCCTGGGGACTATTCCATTTCAAATGCAAAACCTTGGGAGGGAAAGAAAATGAATTTATTTCACAAATAGATTTTTGATCCTGAGGATACTTTGTCAATTACATTTATGTTAGAGAAGTTTAGGTCCAGTGATTTCTACTGTTGTCTCAAAGTGGTAAGCAAAGCAAAGGGAGGTCTGATATCTTAAAACATTATTTCAATTAAAGGGCTCACATTCGGTAAAATTATTTAAACTCCAAATGGTTATGTCATTGGTAGGAGTACATAGAACAGAAACAATAGGGATATGTATTTATATTTTAAAACAAAAAAAGGAACAAAATGTATACTTTTTAACAAATGCTTTTATATTTTGAAGCTTAAAATGTCAAATCATATAATGGAAAAATAAGAAAAGCATTCAAAATATCTCTCAGAGAAAATCACTCTAAATATATACTTGTATGAATAGTTTTTCATTTGTCTCTACTTTTTTTTTTGAGACAGAGTCTCCCTCTGTCACCAGGCTGGAGTGTAGTGGCACAATCTCGGCTTACTGAAACCTCTGACTTCCTGGTTCAAACGATTCTCCTGCCTCAGCCTCCTGAGTGGCTGGGATTACAGGCACGTGCCACCATGCCCAGCTAATTTTTGTATTTTTAGTAGAGACGGGGTTTCACCATGTTGGCCAGGATGGTCTACATCTCCTGATCTCCTGATCTCCTGATCCACCCACGTTGGCCTCCCAAATTTCTGGGATTACAGGTGTGAGCCACCGTGCCCGGCCTAAAATTTTTTAATATGTAGAACAAGTGAAAGAAAATTATCATGGACTTAATATATTGATCTTTGACAAACTCCACTAGTTTGTTCCTCAAACATGCATATTTCCTGTCCTTCTCAAGATTCACTAACTTATTTAGCTACCATTTTTTTAAGTAATGGAGTATATTTAAAGTTTATTTTGTTAAAAAAAGTGTCGAATAACTATATAGAATTAAGATTTTAAAAATTATTTTTAATTCATTTCAGTCTCTAGAAGTACTTTAAAACTAAATAAGCTTCATCCATTTCCTTATATGAGTGAAGTGATTTCACAGGGAATCATGACAATGTGTAAGATTTTTGAAAATGAAATCCAAGAATTTATGACAGTCAGTTCAGTGCTTTTGGTCAAGGTCAGGGACCCTTTCTTCCTCATAGGGCTACCTTTGCAAATTCATTGGCACTGATTGTTTTGAAGCAAATAGCCAGTAGGAAAACTTTAAAGAGTTCATTTTGCAATTTATGAATGAAAACTGCAGCTGTGGCAACATGAGTTAGGAAAGCAATGATAAGACCCATCAGTTTCTCAAGCCTGAGAGCCTCATCAGCTCACCAGCTGAGAAAAACCGAAGTTTGTCAGGGACCAAGTGAAGATGAAGGCATTTCTTTTTAACCAGAAATTAAGTTAGATTACTTGTTTCTGCTGGTGGTGAGTGTGATCATTATGTCTTGAAGGCGGAATAACTTAGATGATATCTTAATTTCTGTATCCTATGATTCCTTGGTTTCTGTACCATATTGCCTGTAGATATATTTTCATGTAACTAGATGTATCTCATATAGCCAATATAGATCTAAAGACATTCATCCTAATTTTGGTTCCTGGGAGTAAGGGTGGGAAAGCACTTTCTCTAGTCACCTAGTGTTCTGCTCAAAACCTGCAATGGATTATGATAGACTAAACATTAGTTTTACACTCTTTCCGACTTAAAAATACATTATTATTGTTATCGATGTTCTCTTGAGCATGAGATTGACTTTGGTTAAAAAAAATGTGAGTAAAATTCATTTGTGTCACATCTGAGCAGAAGCTGTAAGAGGCAGTGAAAAATCTGCCATTCTCGATCAGGCATGAGGATTTGCAGCACTGGAGATGGTCTCTGACCTGTTAGCCTGGGTGTTTGAATGAGGATAAGTAGCAAAAATCCCTGTGATCCACCAAGGTTCTATAATATGATTGAGAAGGAAATTCCTGTTGTTTTAAACAAGTGAGATTTTGGAGGGAGATGGTGTTGCAGGAGAGCACCTGACTGATACTCAATTCCCCATATAAAATTTAGGGAATATGGTTAAACCAAGATAAACAAATACAACAAAAATCACACTTACACCTAATGAGATAAGCATATCAGTAGTTGAGGTTTATAACTATATGTATATGCAGTCAGTATCAATGTCTAAACCAAAATAAACATGCACATATTTTATAAAACGATGTATTTATGTTATTCTGTCAACAGCATTTATGTGCCCTTATTGAACAGGTAAAATGCTAAGAACGTCGAATACATTTTTTTAAATTTCTTAAAAACACAATTAAGTAGGAAGATGTATAATTATTCTTCTTTTTGCAGAAAAAATAATTGGATATTTGAACAGTTTGTCATTTTACATAATTCCAGTGGTAAAATTTTAATAAAGAAGATTAATAATGTTCTCTCACTCCAGGGTTATTGTTTTGGATAACTTGCAAGTTCTTGTTACATGCCAACTCATTGAACAATATATATTTAGCATATTTCCTGTTACAGATATAATTCTCCAGAATCATTGAAATGGCTGCATAATATTCCATTATATGGTTGTAGCAAAATAATTCAATCAATCCTTTTTTGTTAGATATCTATATGTTCTCCTATTTTATTCAAGTTCTAAATGCCATGATTTATATTCTCATAGCAGAATATGTAGATCTAAATATTGGTGAAATATTTTGAAGGAAAAAAGTCAAAACAATTTATAATCTCTAAAATAAATTATATAGTTATACTCTCCCGCCGGAGGCATAAGAAAAGTCCTCTTCTCCCATCACCAGTGACAATTTAAATAATCTGTTAGCTCTTCTTAATGTATTTTGCTGTCGGTGTTAACAAACTTTTGCCATTTATCAAACTTCTTTCATTGACTTTTAGAATAATCAAACAAATGATTTATCTGCAGGCATTATTATTCAGAGGCTTGTGTTTTCAGCATTTGCCTTCTTTGATCATCGTTTGTCCTTGTGTCTAAGTCATCTTTTTGTTTGATACTGCAATCCCATGTGCTTTTCTTGTCTGTCCTGTTTGCCCTTTGGTTTTCTTTGATCAGACTTGTTCTAAGAGATATTGCATATG